ACACACACACACACACACACACACACACACACACACACACACACTCACTCACTCACTCACACACTCACACTCACACTCACACTCACACTCACACTCACACTCACACACACTCACACACACTCACACACACACTCTCTCTGAGTTTTCCTCTATTTTCTTAATAGTTCTTCTTGTTTATTTCCTCTTATCTTCATGGGGAAGTGGAACAGAATTCTTCCTCCGTAAGCCATGCGTGTTGTAAGAGGTGGCTAAAATGCCGGGAGCAAGGGACTAGTAACCCCTTCTCCTGTATATATTACTAAGTGTAAAATGAGAAACTTTCGTTTTTCCTTTTGGGCCACCCTGCCTTGGTGGGATACGGCCAGTGTGGTGAAAGAAAGAAAGAAAGGATTGCTTTTATCTTTTTTCTGTCTCATAAATATGCAAGATTATAGGTACGTCTTCCTACTTCTACTTAAACTTAGGTCACACTACACATACATATACAAGCATATACAGTGGACCCTCAACCAGCGATACATTTTAACGCAAATATTTTGCCTCGGCTAGCGCTTAAAAACCCGACAAGCGCTATTCGTTCCGTACGAGACGCGCCCACTTTGGCCGGAGCGCGCCTCACTTGTCCCGTGGGTGCCAGTGTTTACAAGCCAGCCACCGCGGTCGCTTCCAAACATACAACTGGAACATTTCATATTATCACAGCCTTTGTAGTGATTGCACTTGCAAAATAAGTCACCATGGGCCCCAAGAAAGCTTCTAGTGCCAACCCTACAGCAAAAAGGGTGAGAATTACTATGGAGATGAAGAAAGAGATCATTGCTAAGTATGAAAGAGGAGTGCGTGTCTCTGAGCTGGTCAGGTTGTATAATAAACCCCAGTCAACCATCGCTACTATTGTGGCCAAGAAAACGGCAATCAAGGAAGCTGTTCTTGCCAAAGGTGCAACTATGTTTTCGAAACTGAGATCGCAAGCGGTAGAAGATGATGAGAGACTCTTATTGGTGTGGATAAACGAGAAACAGCTAGCAGGAGATAGCATCTCTCAAGCGATCATATGTGAAAAGGCTAGGAAGTTGCATGACGATTTAATTAAAAAAATGCCAGCAACTAGTGATGTGAGTGAATTTAAGGCCAGCAAAGGTTGGTTTGAGAGATTTAAGAAGCGTAGTGGCATTCATAGTGTGATAAGGCATGGTAAGGCTGCCAGTTCGGACCACAAAGCGGCTGAAAAATATGTGCAGGAATTCAAGGAGTACATAGACAGTGAAGGACTGAAACCTGAACAAGTGTTTGTGACGAAACAGGCCTGTTTTGGAAGAAAATGCCAAGCAGGACGTACATTACTCAGGAGGAAAAGGCACTCCCAGGACATAAGCCTATGAAAGACAGGCTTACTCTGTTGATGTGTGCTAATGCAAGTGGTGATTGCAAAGTGAAGCCTTTATTGGTGTATCACTCTGAAACTCCCAGAGTGTTCAGGAAAAACAATGTCGTCAAGGCTAATTTGTGTGTGCTGTGGAGGGCAAACAGTAAGGCATGGGTCACTAGGGACTTTTTCTATGACTGGTTACACCATGCATTTGCCCACAATGTGAAAAATTACCTAATTGAAAAGAAATTAGACCTTAAGTGCCTCCTGGTATTAGACAATGCTCCTGGTCATCCTTCAAACTTGGCAGAGCGACTTTCTAGGGACATGAGCTTCATTAAGGTGAAGTTTTTGCCTCCTAATACCACTCCTCTCCTGCAGCCCATGGACCAGCAGGTCATTTCCAACTTCAAGAAACTGTACACAAAAGCTATGTTTGAAAGGTGCTTTGTAATGACCTCAAACTCAACTGACTAAGAGAGTTTTGGAAAGATCATTTTACCATCCTCAATTGTTTAAACATTATAGGTAAGGCTTGGGAGGAAGTGACTAAGAGGACCTTGAACTCTGCTTAGAAAAAACTGTGGCCAGAATGTGTAGACAAAAGGGGTTTTGAAGGGTTTGAGGCTAACCCTGAGAATCCTATGCCAGTTGAGGAATCCATTGTGGCATTGGGGAAGTCCTTGGGGTTGGAGGTTAGTGGGGAGGATGTGGAAGAGCTGGTGGAGGAGGACAATGAAGAACTAACCACTGATGAGCTGCTAGATCATCTTGAACAGCAAGAGAGCAGACCTGAGGAAACTGCTTCGGAGGAGGAGATAGAGAAATTGAAGACGTTGCCTACTTCTAAGATTAAGGAAATATGTGCAAAGTGGCATGAAGTGCAAACCTTTTTTTGATGAAAATCACCCTGATACAGCTACTGCAAGCTGTGTTGGCAACCTGTACACTGACAATGTTGTGAACCACTTTAGGAAAGTCATAAAGGAACGAGAGGTACAGGTATCTATGGACAGATATGTTGTGCGACAGAAGTCCAGTGACTCAGGAGCTGGTCCTAGTGGCATTAAAAGAACAAGGGAAGTAACCCCAGAAAAAGACTTGCTACCTCAAGTGCTAATGGAAGGGGATTCCCCTTCTAAACACTAAGAAGATCAACGGTCTCCCCTCCTCCCATCCCATCAATCATCACCAGATCTTCAATAAAGGTAAGTGTCATGTAACTGTGCATGTCTTCTTCAGTTTGTGTGTATTAAAGTTAATATTTCATGTGGTAAAATTTTTTTTTTCAATACTTTGGGGTGTCTTGCACGGATTAATTTGATTTCCATTATTTCTTATGAGGAAAATTAATTTGACTAATGATTATTTCGATTAACGATGAGCTCTCAGGAACGGATTAATATCGCTGGTTGAGGGTCCACTGTATATACATACCCCTCTGGGTTTTCTACTATTTTCTTTCTAGTTCTTGTTCTTGTTTATTTCCTCTTATTTCCATGGGGAAGTGGAACAGAATTCTTCCTCCGTAAGCCATGCGTGTTGTAAGAGGCGACTAAAATGCCGGGAGCAAGGGACTAGTAATCCCTTCTCCTGCACAAATTACTAAATTTAAGAAAAACTTTCATTTTCATTTCTTGGAGGGATGCGGCCGGTTTGTTGGGGAAAAAAAAAAAAAAAAACATGCAAGATTTCAGGTAAGTCTTGCTACTTCTACTTACACTTAGGTCACACTACACATACATATACAAGCATATAGTATATACACACCCCTCTGGGTTTTCTTCTATTTTCTTTCTAGTTCTTGTTCTTGTTTATTTCCTCTTATTTCCATGGGAAAGTGGAACAGAATTCTTCCTCTATAAGCCATGCGTGTTGTAAGAGGCGACTAAAATGCCGAGGGCAAGGGGCTAGTAACCCCTTCTCTTGTATGAATTACTAAATTTAAAAAGGGAAACTTTCGTTTTTCTTTTTTGGGCCACCCTGCCTCGGTGGGATACGGCCGGTTTGTTGAAAGAAAGAAAGAAAGAAAGAATGGAGACAAATGATTTTTAATACTTGATGTGCTGTTGGAGTGTGAGCAAAGTAACATTTATGAAGGGATTCAGGGAAACTGGCAGGCCAGACATGAGTCCTGGAGATGGAAAGTACAGTGTCTACACAGAAGGAAGGGTGTTAATGTTGCAGTTTTATAACTGTAGTGTAAAGCACCCCTCTGGCAAGACAGTGATGGAGTGAATGACGATGAAAGTTTTTCTTTTTCGGGCCACCCTGCCTTGGTGGGAATCGGCCGATATGTTAATAAAAAAAAATAATAAACATTTTACAATGGTAAAAATCCATCCAACAGATCATTTAGCTCATTTTACTGTTTCAATCCATAAATTTTATACCAAACAAGTATTAGAATCAGCTGTATTGCAGTTTTCTAATGTAATTTTCCTAAAAGCAGAAAATTATTATGGGAAGTAAATCCATACGAGTCACAAGAACCTGGGGAATGGAAGGCAACTAGGTCCAATCTAAGGAGAGAACAGGTCCAATTCCTTGGATCCAGAAATCCCCCACAAGCATCAAGGCACCTCCTTTGAGGAGTCATAAATGCAATAAAGAGCAAAAAAAAAAAAAAAAAAAAAAAAACACATAATTCATAACCCTTTCATATGGAAGCCTATAATGAGACCATAGCCATTCCTTAAGCTGGTCTTCTGCCAAAACTAACTAGCCTTCTTTTAGCCATCACAGATACAGTCTCGTAGAATCAGCCCTAATACACATTTCTAAAATAAATCTTAGTCTTGGTTTTGTTTAAATTTCTCCTTGCCTTTTACTGTACACTGTCACACACACAGTAATCCTCAGAATATTTGTGACTTCACCTGACTTTGGCTTTGACTTCATCTGACTTCTGTGTTCTAAAAATCACCCCTTCATCTTCTGTCTTGTAATGTCTTCACCTGATATGACTTCTGGCTTTTGCTTTCAGTTGTGACTTGATAATGATCCAAGAAATCAAAACCTTACTTAAACATTTATTTCCAATTTGTAGATTAACTGTAAGGTGTTCTGGTCAGAATCTTTACCTTTACTCTTCTATTAATAGTTACATAGCATAGGGTAATCTTTTTCAGGAGTATACCATTCTGGAATTAAAAGTTTTGGACATTTTCTTTCAAAATTATTAATATTTGTGATAAGCTAATTAACTTAATTAGGACTAACTAAAGAAAAATTTCATGAGTTAGTTTTCCAAATCTGATACAAAATAATGATGCCATTTGCTTACAAAACTACAAAATGTTAGGAGTATAAGGTGACACTTGCCCATAACACACAGCATACAATGATCCCATAAATGTAAACAGTGTGAAGTGTATTCTATACACTTATGTGTATCAATGTACTGAAAGTTTGTGAATAATTTTTTTTAATGAATTTCAAAATCTTTTGTCATAAAAACTGTCCTTTGGATATTCCAATACTAAAGAGTAAATACATACTTTCCATGCCTAACTACTGAATATCAATTGGGGAAACTTCTGTAAATACAAAACTTTTTAGTTAAAAAAAATATAAAAAAAGAATAAACATTTATGAATTATGTTAATACTATGGATAAAAAAATTAGTACCTGAGTATTTGGAAGGATCATTGAGAGGTCCTCATCAGCACATGCAGGGGACACTGGGGGTGTAGCATGACTGAACCCCACCTTAGTGCTTCCACAAGATGGCAGAGACGGTTTTGGTGAATCCAAGTCTGTTGGATCTAATAAAGAAAACTGAGATATAAAACTACTGAATTGATAAAAAACAAGATTGAAGGCTAAGCCAATTCTTTGGAAATTTAAGCTATCAAAAGTACACTAACTGCTTTTAAATCAAAATGCTCAATGGAAACACAAACCCAACCTCTATTTAAGAGGGATTTCTAGCTACCAGGGGCCCCAGATGTGAGTGTACACTCCACCAAACCCAGCCTATGGGTTGAGGGAGGGTACACTCCATTACACCTACCCCAAGGTTGAAGAAGTGCACACATCACAACCAGCCCCAGAGTTTGGGGACTAAAAATTCTATCAAACCCAACCCAGGGCTGAGGTCATGACCCCTTCCATCATACCTAACCCCAAGGTTAAGGGAGTCTACATTCCATCAAATCTGACTCAAAGTTGAGTGTGTGTGTATACTCAGCTTAAGAAATACAAATTTCTAGAAGAATAACACATCACGATTAAAATCAGTATGAAGAATACTATACACAGGCAACAGTAGTCACTGGATATGGTAAATATATAGCCACACTGCTTTGCCTTTTAGCTTATGCCATTCTGTAATGCATCTAAAGGCTGAAGTAAATATTCAAATAAATATCATACACACTATGCAAATATGGATGCAAAACAGCTGTTACACAAGACTCAGACAGTACTAAGTCAGATACTTGACATGAGGCAGACATGACAGCAGGAAGTGGTTAAAACTTTATAAAGCAGTGGAACAAAAAACCATTCAGTATTTTATGTAATATATTCACACATGCCCTAGGTAGTAGGTTGGTAGACAGCAACCGCCCAGGGAGGTACTACCGCCCTGCCAAGTGAGTGTAAAACGAAAGCCTGTAATTGTTTTACATGATGGTAGGATTGATGGTGTCTTTTTATTGTCTCATACACATGCAAGGTTTCAGGTATGTCTTGCTACTTCTACTTACACTTCACATACATGTACAAGCATATATACACACACCCCTCTGGGTTTTCTTCTATTTTCTTTCTAGTTCTTGTTCTTGTTTATTTCCTCTTACCTCCATGGGGAAGTGGAACAGAATTCTTCCTCCGTAAGCCATGCGTGTTGTAAGAGGCGACTAAACTGCCAGGAGCAAGGGGCTAGTAACCCCTTCTCCTGTATATATTACTAAATGTAAAAGGAGAAACTTTCGTTTTTTCTTTTGGGCCACCCCACCTCGGTGGGATATGGCCGGTGTGTTGAAAGAAAGATTCAAACATGCAGATCACTAACCATTCAATCAAGCTAAAATTACTCTGACCCCTCTCCTAATAATAAGAGCCATTTACACACATACTTTAAAAAATAATATATTTTAAAAGCAGAAAACCCAAATTTTCCCTAAAATGTAAACAGGGGGTGGGTCTGTAATACCAAAAGCCAATCCTACTGACAGGAAAATATAAAAAATTTTCTTTTCCTAAAATTCCAGGCCATGAAATGTTAATTTTGGGACCCAAAGACCAGTCTGCATCAAAAACTTTGTGGTTGAAGGCAAAGGCCCAAAAACTTTTGTAAACCATTTGGGGTTTAAAAAAAAACCCCTTAATGTTTTGGGTAAAAATTCTGGAAACCATTCAAAACATCACAATCACTGTATGCTCAGCTAAGGCCTTTGCAAGACTACTGAATGCCGGGGCCCAAAAAAACCCCTAAAAGCAATCATGCCCCAGGAAATTTAAACTAAAATTATTTTTTGATCCATCAATATTTATGAAAAGCATGTATACATTTTAATATTAACATCCTTCCCAAAACGAACAAAAGAAAGCAATGAGATTTTTAAACTGAGACCCCCACTTGCCAGCCTTTAAAGTTGCATCCAAAAGACAGTGGCATGATTTCGACTAATGGGGGCACTCCCCAAAAAATTCGAAATAACGTCTAAAATTAAAAGGTGCAAAAATTGGGAACCTTTTTTAAATAAAAAAAAAGGGTTTACTTCAACAATGACTAATTTTTTAAAAATAAACAATTAATAAGGTATTTAGGTTGGTAAAAAACAGAAAACCACCCAAAAAAGTACAAACCGTCCTCCCCAGATGACTGTGAAACAAAAACCTGAAACTTTTTTTGCATGATGGTAGGATTGCGGGTTTTCTTTTTCTGTCCATAAACACGCTAATAACGGGGATATTTTTGCTACCCAAATTTACATTTTGGGTCACACTTCACAGAACCGCACATGCATTATAATAAACATACATCTAGGTTTTTCTCCTTATTCAAAAAAGTTTCCTTGTTTTTTTTTATTTCTTCTATTGTCCAGGGGGAAGTGGAAAAAATCTTTACTTCCGAAAGCCAGCGTGTCAATGGGGCCCTAAAATGCCGGAGCAAGGGCTAGAAACCCCCTTCTCCTGTATCCTTTTACTAAAAAAGAGAAAAAGAAAAATTTTTAAAAAAAACTGGGTTTTTAAATGTGCGGGGAAAGTAGTGGGGATGAAAAAAAAAACAATGATTGCTGATTTATGAATAAAAAGAATTTGGATGTCCGGGCTCAAAAAGCAAAACAAAGTTTAAAGGGGGGTAAAAAGGGTTTCAGGGGGGGGAAATAAAGGGGGTTTAAAATTTCTGGAGAAATCGGAGGGGTTAAGAAAAGGGAAAGGGGGTGGGCAGAAAATTTTAAATAAACATTTTTATGGAAGGAGAAAAGAGAAAAAATGGGGAAAATTTCGAGAATTATGTGGATTAAAGTAAAGGTTGTTTTGCAAAGAAGGGGGTCATAATAACCCGTGTATGCACCGGGAGAAGAGGGGAAAATGCAGAGGAGAGAGAGAGTTTTTGGGGAGTATTAAGTGAATGAAAGGACCCTTTTAAAACCAATTGAGAGAGTAATTGTGGTAGGGGCCCCTGAATGCAAAAGGGTAGAGAAATTTTTTAGAGAGGGTGGTTGGTAATTTTGGGGTTGCCAGGTGAAAAGAAAAATTGGACCCTTTTTGATGAACTTTGTATGGGAAAAGGGTTTTTAGTTTGGGTAATACAAAATTTTAAAAAAAGAGGATAAATAATAACACGATATGATGAAAGGGCGAAATCAGTATTTGTTGGATTATGTTTTGGTTAGATAAAAGACTGTTGATTAGATTTCGGGGATTTACATTTTTATCAGGGGCCACAGATAAAACAGATCACTTTCTATTTTGTAGCTACACTGAGAGAAAAAGGTAAAAGGGATAAAAGGGAAATAGAAGCATAAAGGAAGAGAGAGGTGAAGGTTTAAAAAACTAAAAGAGGGGGCATTTTAGGGTAAGATATAAACAGCTATTGGGGGTTAAAGGGGGCCCTAATGAGAGCATAGGCAAGGGGGTCGAAGGGGAAAAGGGGGAAAGGTTTTAAAAATGTAGTTTTTAAGTTTTCACCGAATTTTGGGGTTAAACGGAAAGGGGGTGCAGGAGGGAAAGGAGCGATTGGGGGAAATGATGATTTTAAAAAAAGTATTTAAGGGAGAAAAAGTTAAAATATGAAAAAATTTTTAAAAACAAAGTAAAAAGTGATGCAAGGAGGGAAAAAGTAAAATGGAGAAAAAGAGAGAGGTTAAGGAGGGGTTTAACAATGTAAAAAGAGAGCAAATGAGAGATGGTGGGGTTTTGTATCAAAAAAATTTTTGTTAAAAATAAAAAAAGGGTTTTTGGAGTAAATTTAACTTTTTTAAGGAACCTAGAGAAAAAAAGGATTTGTCATTAAAAAAAAGGGGGAAGGAGATTTTATTAAAGGAGATTTTAAGGTATTGGGAAGAGGGAGGGAATATTTTGGGGAAATTGTTAAATTTTTGAGGGAAGATAGGGAAGTGTTTTCGTGTAGGGGGCAAGGGGAATAACATCTTGTAGGAGTGGGGAAAGCCAGTTGTGAGTGGGGGGGGAATTTCTGAGGCAGTAGGTAAAATAAAGGGGGGTAACAGCCGGGGATTGAGGGGTAAAGATAAAAATTTTTAAAAGCAGGGGGGGATAATTTTTGGGGGGTTTTTTGGTGCAATTTTTTAATAAATTTATTAAAAAGGGTAAGGTACCTAGGGTTTGGGGCAAAAGAGCATGCATATTTTTCCTTTGTAAAAAAGGAAAAGGGGGATAAAAGAGAGTGCAAAAATTATGGGGGGAAAAGCTTTTTTTTGAGTGTACCTGGTAAAGTGTATGGTAGAGTTAAAATTTGGGAAAGAAATAAGATAAGCCCGGAGAATGGGAAAAGGGGCAGATAAAAAAGGAGGTTTTAGGAAAGGTGGGGGGTGGTGGCCCAGGTGTTTCCCATTTGAAACATTTTAGTAAACCCGTTTTTAAAAAGGCTAAAGAGGTCTTTTTTGGCTTTTAAAGGTTTTGGAAAAAGGGCCCGTATAAAAGGGGTGGATGGGGGGGGGAAATGTGGCAGATTTTTGCAAGTGTATGGTGAGGAGGTGGGTTACTGAAAGCGTGAAGAGTTTTTTAAACAGGAAATTTGAGGTTTAAATTTTAAAGAGTATTTTAAAAAAGAGGGAAATTTTTCCCAGTAAAAGTAGGCCTTAGACAAGGTTGTGATTTCCCCCGGGGTTTTTTTAAAAAATTTTTATAGATGGGGTTGTAAGAGAAGTAAATGCAAAGGGTCGGGGCAAGATGCGTGGATTTAAAAGATAAAGAACCCACCACAGGGTGGGATTGTCACAGCTGGGTCTTTCTGATGCACTGTGCCTTGGGAGAAATTTTGAAGAAAGCTGCAAAAGATTGGGGGATGAAATTTTGGGAGGGTGTGCAAAAGAAAAAATTTTAAAGGGGGAATACAGGAAAGAATAAAGGTTTTTGGGGGATAACAAAAAAGATTAGTTGAAAGATTGAATATCAGATTGGGGGGAGAGAGTATTGGGGGAAGGGGAACGAATTTAGATATTTTGGGGGTGGACGTGTCACGGATGGGGCTTTAAAGATGAGGGGAATCATAGAAAATTTATGAGGGAAAAAGAGTGAGTGGGCACTTTTGGGGTCTGGGAGACAGAGAACTTTTTCCTTTGGGGCAAAAAGGGGAATGTATGAGAGTAAAGTTTTAAACCAAAACTCTTATAGGGTTGAAGCATGGGGGAGAATGTTGCCCGCGAGGAGAAGGCTGGAGGCATGGAGATGTCCTTTCTGAGGGCAAAAGTTTGGTGTGAATATAATGCAGAGAATTTTGAAATTTTGGGAAATTAAAGGGGGAGGTGGGGGGATTAAACCAAAAAAGTTGTCCAGAGGGCGGGGGAAGGGTTGTTGAGGGGTTCGGACAAATTTTTTTGAGAAATTGGGGCGAAACAGAATAACTTTAAGAGGGATCAGTCTGTAAGGGGAAAGGGAAAGGGGGGGTAGGGGGCGGGGCCCAGGAAGGGGTTGGAGGGAGGGGTTTAAAAGGGGGTTTTGGGGGCCCAGGGGGTTGGACTTCCACAGGCATGCGTGACCCTGTTTATAGGGGGTGAAAAGGGGACAAAAGGTTTTTTTTAAAAACTTGACGTGCTGTTGGAGTGGGGAGCAAAGTAAAAAATTATAAGGATTCAGGGGGAAACCCCAGGCCCCACTTTTAGTCCTGGAGATGTGAAGTACAGTGCCTGCACTCTAAAAGGGGGGGTGTTTTAAAGGTTTCAGTTTAAAAAAAATTTTGGGAAAGCAAACCCTTTTTGGCAAACAGTGATGGGGTGAATGGGTGGGAAAGTTTTTTTTTTTTCGGGGCCAAACCCCGCCTTGGTGGGGAAACGGCCATGTTATAAAAAGATAATAAAAAATAAAAAATATTATTAAATTCCCTGGGGGAAATTGAAAAAAAATCTTTTTCCCCTAAAACCAAAACCCCAAACCCCTTTTAAATAAACCCTTTTAAGAGCTTTGAAAAGCTTTACGCTCCCCAAGCCCAGTCATGGGCCAGCTCATCGAAAAAAGGGGACTAACAAGCTGGGGGCAAGGGGGTGGAACCCCTTCAAAATAAATTATAAATGTAAAAAAAGAAAAACTTTAGTTTTCTTTTTTTTGGGTTTACCCTGCCTTGGGGGGAGATTGGGCCCGGGGGTTGAAAAAAGTATTTTCCCGTGTAATTTTTTCCCCGGTTCAAAATTTTTTAAAATTTTTCAATGAAAGAGGAGGCAAAATGGGGATAGGGGAAAAAAAGATGGGGGTGTCAGGGAAAGACCCTTGGCAAAAATGGGGAGGGGGAAAAATTTTAGAAAAATTACAGCAAATGAGTGGGGTTTTTAAAGCAAGGGCTATAAACCCCCTTCCCCCCTTTTAAAATTTCTAAATTTTTAAAAAAACTTTTGTTTTTTCCCCTTTTGGGCTACCCTGCCTTGGTGGGGTACGGGTGGGGGTTTTTAAAAAAAAGAAAAGTGGGTTGGGTAAAGAAATCGAAATTTTGTATTAAAGGTGGGAAACACTGGAGAGAAAATGCAAAGTAAACAGGGCAGGGCAAATGGAAAAATATTTTTTTTTTTTTTTTTTAACACATCACATTTTCCCCCCAAGGTAGGGTGGGGCCCCAAATTTGAAAAACTTTTTTCATTCACTCCATCACTGTCTTTTCAGAGGGAGGGTTACAAAACAGTTATAAAAAATCCAAAAATTAAAATCCCTCCCTTTAATTCAGACACTGTACTTTCCCCTCTCCAGGACTCAAATCCAGCCGCAGGTTTTTTCCCCGAAAAAACCTTTATAAATTTCCCCTTTCTCATGCTCCAAAAACAAGGGAAATCAAGTATTAAAAAACCCTTTGTCTCCATCCATTTCCCATCAAACATGCCATGCATGCTTTCTGGGAAAACCCCAAACCCCCCACACACAAAACCTCCCCTTTACCCCCCCCTCCAACCTTTCTTAACCAACCCTACCCCCCCCTTCCCTCCACTACAGAAATTTTTAAAAACTCCGAATCA